AGATTGGGTTTGAGAAAAAAGTATAAGAAAGTTGTAAGATTTTGTAGAATAGACACCCTATAAGAGTACTGAAGATTTATGTCTTATAGGTATATATGTTTATTTGTGAGTAGATTAAAGGAGACTGAAAGGATCCACAGAGGTATGAGGTATGGGTGCATATGGGTATGTGTTTAGTTTTTGTTGAAAGGGTGCACATGAGTACATATTTGTTTGGGTTAAGAATATTTTATAAGACTAGAAGAGATTGAGAGTGTCTTATGAGTATTGATTATTAAGTGAGGTAGATGATTTGATTTGTATGTTTGTAATTCTCTACAACTAGTGGATCTTGTTTCTCATCCTGGATATAGGTTAGTTAGACCAAACCATGTTAAATTATTGTCTTTTGTGTGTTTGATTAATTGTTTGATTTTGGTTCTACTGGTATGATTGGATTGAGGCTTTTTAGCCTAACAAGTGGTATCAAAGCTATGGTGATCCTTAACAAGTGGTATAAAAGTTAAAGATTCGAGACGTGGAAAAAGCTGAAAGTTTAGGCCATGGGAAGAGGTAAGTCCAGAGGAGCTCGATTCAAAAAAAGAGTTCGAGTTCATATTTTAAGGATTCAGGATTGGTTTTCATGAAATGTGAAAACATACAAGAGAAGATGATTGTAAGACTTTCATTGCAAGTGGAGCCAAGCATATCTAGCATGAAGACAGATGATTGATGGAATTTGAGTCAAGGTGGCGATTATTAGGAATAATGACTCAAATCCCATAAAAGATTTGTTTGAGATTTATTAATTATTGCTTGATGTACAAGAAGACTTGCAAAAGAAGAATTCTGAAAGAAAAGAGATTCTTAATAGATAAGTTTAACTTGCAGAAGAAAAATTTAAAAAGAAAATGATTCTTAATAGGCAAGTTTGTATGCTTATAAATAGATGAAATCTCTATAGGGTTGGGTATGAGAAAAAGATGTAAGAAAGTTAGGATTTTGTGGGATAGATACCCCATAAGAGTAGTGAAGATTTACATCTTATGGGTGTGTATGTTTGTTTGTGAGTGGACTAGAGGAGACTGAGAGGGTCCATATAGGTATAAGGTATGAGTGTATATGAGTATGTGTTTAGTTGTATTGAAGGGGTGCACATAGGTACGCATTTGTTTGAGTTAATAATACTCCATAAGACTAGAAGAGATTGAGAGTGTCTTATGAGTATTGATTGTTAAGTGAGGTAGATGATCTTATTTGTATGTTTGTAATTCTCTACAACTAGTGGATATTATTTATCATCCATGGACGTAGGTTAGTTGTACCAAATCACATTAAATTATTATTTCTTATGTGTTTGATTAATTATTTGATTTCACTTCCGTTGATGTGATTAGATTGAGACTTTTTAGTCTAATAAGTATGACGGTATTTTTTAATTTCTTAATTATTATTGTTTACTTACCTTTTTTTTTTAATTGGTCGAAATGACATACTTGTAAAATGCAATCCAAATAATTTTATAGTGTGACGTGATTTTCACCGCTCAATGGAGGTTTGAGTTCTAGTACTCATTTGCCCATTTATTTATTTATTTATTTATTTGTTTGCAATTTCATGTTAATCACTTAATTTTTTTTATTTTTGTCTTTTACTTAAAAATTATAAAATAATTTTGTAAATTTAATATAAAATAAATTTTATTATATAATAATTAATAAATAACTTTTTATTATTTATTAATAAAATCATTATTTGACATAAAATAATTTAATAATAATTTATTACTTTTATAAATATTAAATAATTTAAATTTTTTATTACATATAATTTTGATTTAATATTTTTAATTATCCTTTTTTTTACTATAATTCATCTTATCATCATCATTATTTTTGTATTCAAAAACATTTTACAACTTAAACTTAAAAGACTAATAATCATCACGTAACAAAATTAATTTAAACGTAGTCTTGAAGTTAGATTTTTTCACTTGATGTTGATGTTTCATAGTGACAGAAATTCTCTTCTATTCTACATAAATACCTGACCATGCTAGCCAATGTAATTTAGAACAATTAGCAAAAGATCCTTTTTGAACTATCCAAATCATGTCATCTTTCTTAATACCATTCAAAGTCATGTTCTTCCTCATACTTGTCCTGCTTCACTATTCCTCTGTCTTTGCTTCTTCATCCTCCATTGCTGTACTTAAAAGAGGTAAAGAAGCGGAAGCTCTTCTAAAATGGAAAGCAAGCCTTGACAACAACACCCAAACTTTGCTCTCTTCTTTGTGGGTTGGAGATGGCCATTGTAGCTGGGTTGGAATTACCTGCGACAAGGCTGAAAGCATCATCAATCTGAGCCTTCCAGATTATGGGTTGAGAGGTACACTTCATAGTCTTAACTTTCTTTTCTTCCCTAGCCTGATGAGGCTTAACCTTCATAACAACTCACTGCATGGGTCCATTCGCTCACACATTGGCAACCTTTCCAAGCTCACTTTCCTTAAATTGTCAAACAATAACTTTTCCGGGAATATTCCATCCGAAATTTGCTTATTGAAAGGTCTTGAGTTGATTTCCTTAGCAAGTAATGAGATCAGTGGTTCCATTCCATTAGAGATAGGGAGGCTGAGTTCAGTTTCCGAGATCTATTTCTTTGATAACTATCTATGTGGTTCTATCCCTGCTTCCATAGGAAACTTGACCAGTCTATCCACTCTCTACCTTCATCGAAATATGTTTTCTGGGTCGATACCTCAAGAGATAGGGATGCTTAAATCTCTCACTGACTTTGAGTTGAGTCATAATAATTTCTCTGGTTCAATCCCTGCTTCCATAGGAAACTTGACCAGCCTATCCACTCTCTACCTTTATGGAAATATGTTTTCTGGGTCCATACCTCAAGAGATAGGGATGCTTAAATCTCTCACTGACTTTGAGTTGAGTCATAATAATTTCTCTGGTTCAATCCCTGCTTCCATAGGAAACTTGACTAGCCTATCCACTCTCTACCTTCAATGAAATATGTTTTCTGGGTCGATACCTCAAGAGATAGGGATGCTTAAATCTCTCACTGACTTTGAGTTGAGTGAAAATAATTTCTCTGGTTCAATCCCTGCTTCCATAGGAAACTTGACCAGGCTATCCACTCTCTACCTTTATGGAAATATGTTTTCTGGGTCGATACCTCAAGAGATAGGGATGCTTAAATCTCTCACTGACTTTGAGTTGAGTGAAAATAATTTCTCTGGTCAAATCCCTGCTTCCATAGGAAACTTGACCAGTCTATCCACTCTCTACCTTCACCGAGGGTCGATACCTCAAGAGATAGGGATGCTTAAATCTCTCACTGACTTTGAGTTGAGTCATAATAATTTCTCTGGTTCAATCCCTGCTTCCATAGGAAACTTGACGAGCCTATCCACTCTCTACCTTCATCGAAATATGTTTTCTGGGTCGATACCTCAGAGATAGGGATGCTTAAATCTCTCACTGAC